ACACAGCAATGAGGAATATAGATACTGGTCAAATATATCACGTTTTATAGTGAACGCTGCAAAAATGTATGGGTTAAAAAGACTTGAATTCAAAATAAATACCTTGATTTGAGTTGAATTTCATATTTTTGGTTGATTTCGTAGAACGTTTTTTGATGAATTTGATGAATTTCTGTGCTGAATATGCCTGGAATTTGTCAGGATTTCAGATGGAAGGTTGTGGCCAATATAACTGGATAAAATGGACAAAAACTAAATTCACAAATGTGAAGCATTTTTTCTTATGCTTCGAAATCTGTTCAACTGACAACAAATGTATAGTTGCATTACATATTTTGGATTTCTGAGCTGAAAATGCCTGGAATTTGTCAAGATTTCAGATGGAAGGTTGTGGACAAGATGGACAAAAAGAAAATTCACAAATGTTGAACCATATATATAATTTTTTATAGGTTCACAATTTTTTCTTATGCTTCGAAGTTTTTTCAACTGATGACAAATGTATAGTGGCATTACGTATTTTTTGGGATGATTTCAAAGGACCTTTTTGATGACTTGATGAATTCAATGAATTTCTGTGTTGAATATGCATGGAATTTGTCAGGATTTCTGATGGAAGGTTGTAGCCAATATAACTAAAAATTCACAAATGTTGAACCTTATATATGAATTATTTTTAGGTTGAGCATTTTTTCTTTCACTTCGAAGTCTATTCAACTGACAAATGTATAGTTGCATTACATATTTTTGGGCTGATTTCAAAGGATCTTTTTTATCTAATTTGATGAATTTGATGAATTTCTGTGCTGAATATGCCTAGAATTTGTCAGGATTTCTGATGGAAGGTTGTGGCCAATATAACTAAACAAAATGGACAAAAAGAAATTTCACAAATGTTGAACCATATATATAATTTTTTATAGGTTCACCATTTTTTCTTACGCTTCAAAGTTTTTTCAACTGACGACAAATGTATAGTTGCATAATATACTTTTGGGCTGATTTCAAAGGACCTTTTTTATCTAACTTGATGAATTTGATAAATTTCTGAACTGAATATGTCTGGAATTTGTCAGGATTTCAGATGGAAGGTTGTGGCCAAAATGGACAAAAAGAAAATTCACAAATGTCGAACCTTATATATAAATTCCTTTAGGTCCACCATTTTTTCTTACGCTTCGAAGTCTATTCAACTGACAACAAATGTATAGTGGCATAATATACTTTTGGACTGATTTCAAAGGACCTTTTTTATCTAACTTGATGAACTGGATGAATTTCTGCACTGAATATTCCCCGAATTTGTCAGGATTTCCGATGGAAGGTTGTGGCCAATATAACTGGACAAAATGGACAAAAAGAAATTTCACAAATGTTGAACCTGAACATTTGTGAATCATTTTTTTTAGGTCCACAATTTTTTTTTTACATTTCGAAGTCTATTTAACTGATGACAAATGTATAGTTGGATAGTCCGAATATTTTTAAGAATCACTTTTTGATATTGCAATTAAATATTTATACATCCTCGTATAAAGTTGCATTCATGGTCTATTCATTGATTATGTAAAAATCAATTGAAGATCAGATAAAATAATCAACGCACTGTTTTTTGAAATCATTTTGAAACAACTCACGTAATGTTATTGCTCAAAGTCTTTTCAAATAACACCGATAATCAAGTCCCTAGTTGAGGAAAACTGAATAAATAAACCTTCCTTTGTTAATTTGTGCTAACAGAGAACGCATTATATCTAAACTACTTCTAATGACTCCAATTATGATCTGAATTCAAATCATTTTAATACACCAGATGTTTCACTAGGTGTTATTTTTTGCAACGTCGTAGCAGATGTGTCACAGTGTTGATTTGAAAGCGGAATTGTCCAACGCAAAAGCCGACAAAAGCTGTGCACAGAAGGGTAGGGCCCACATGTCATGCATAAATGATAAGCACTATAACAAACGGGGCCATAAACACGTCCACTGGATGGCTTGGCTCCTAAATTACCCCCTGGTTCATTAGCGCGCGCAGTTCTTTAGTAAAACACTGTTCAACTTGGGTAAACTCGTCCATGTGGGTGTATGGAAAAAAACAACAGGGGGAGAAGGATTGTCTCGTAGGGAAAAAATACACACATTTTACAAAAAGCGACCTCCCTGAAATTCCAAATCCAAAAGGGAAAATAATCAAACAAAAAAAACGAAAAGAATGCAATTTATTTGGAATCACGCATTGCAAAAAAATATTATCTTGAATGAGTTTAAAAGACTTGAATTCAGAATTATACAATACTGAGTAAATGCAACTAGTTTTGTTAATTCAAGTGTTTAATTGGTAGGTATGTGTGGGATGTGAGAAACTGACTCTCACAGCATCAATTTGAACATTTTCTCAGAGTTTATATGAGTCAAATCTGTTCTAGAGTTAATTTAACATTTTTGGAAATGTTAATTAAGTAACACTGGACCAAAGTTCCTGTTTAACCCCCAAATCAAGATTTATATTTATGTTTTGAGAGTAAACGAGTAACACTTTGTAAGGTTATCCTGATTTAGCTAAACAAAACACAGAGGTGTTTTATTTTTACACTTTATTTTAGTCCATTTAAAATGAAATTATGAACAAAACTGGTTCAAACTGGTCTACTCTCGTGGGAGTTTGAAGTGGTGGGTGGAGCCAAATTAACAGTAAGGGAAGTTGATTTAACACTAAAGGACGTTGAAGTAACACTAAGGGTAGTTAAATTAACACCAAAGGAAGATGAATTAACACTAAGGAAAGTTGAATTAACACTAAGGAAAGTTGAATTAACACTAAAGAAAGTTGTATTAACATTAAGGAAAGTTGAATTAACACTAGGGGAAGTTGAATTAACACTAAAGGAGGTTGAATTAACACTAAAGATAGTTCAATGAACACAATGGGAAGTTGAAATAACACTAGGGAAAGATAAATTAACTTCAATCATATCAACTATGGCAAATAACCCCAACTTAAACCCCCATTTAACTTTCAAAAAGTTAAAATAACTTTTTTTGTGTTAAAAACAACTCTGAAATATTTTCACCCTTATCCCAAATACAATTATTGGATTGTGGCATTTCATGTTTTTTGAGTTTTGGTGACTTAATAATACAGTTTTCTTAGTCCACTGGTATAAGAGAAAATGGCTACTTTGGTCAAAATTATCTTTTGATGAATCTCAAAATCATCTAATCTCGTGAATACTACTAAAACAAGAAAATGAATTCAAGTGTTTTCAACTCAAAGATTTGAGATTTGAGAGTCATTTTTTACAGTGTGTTGTGATTCCAGATGAGCGTGTCCTTTAAAAACACAGTTCATCATTGTGCTATCGCTCGTGTGTGCATATTCAGCCCTCACTGTAAACACGGAGCTGCCTCTGGAAGCTGGTCTTCTGCCTCGCGACATAGACGTTTCTGGTAAACACTTGGATCACAAACAGGAGGGGGCCTGAGAAAGGACAGGGGCTGGATCTCAGAGTGACCGACAGGGCTTGACCTTAACGCTATCGCCAAATAGAGCTGAGTTCAGTTTGTAAAACGTTCAGTTCCAGTAGCCACTTCAGACAGCTGGGTTTTTTGCATTTAATTTACAAGCTGAAGAACGTGATGTTTCAGCAAGAATTATCACCAAAAATTATGATCTAAAAATAGAAAAATATACTCACTTTCTATATTGTGCATTTCATTTAAAAAGTCAGAAAATGTTATGCTAATTTGTTTTTAAATTTAATTAAATGACAGTGACAATATATTTATTTATTTTATATATATAGTATATATATATATATATATATATATATATATATATATATATATATTTTTTTTTTTTTTAAAGAAACAAATCTAGATTCAGAAATAATGTAATATCTTTCCATGTTATTGTTAAGTTGGGTCAAAGCAAAATTTCGTACATATTTAGTTAACAGGGTTCCCACAGTTATGGAAATTCTGAAAAAGTAATGGAAATTGAAAATGCTATTTTCCAGGCCTGGAAAAGTCATGGAATTTTGTTAATTCAATGAAAGTTTTGGAAAAGTCATGGAATTTTAGTATCTCTTTCACACAACTACAGCGTTCTGTTAAATTCTCATTAGGCCATTATGATAATTTGCGAATGTTTATGCCTTTTATTTAAAGAGACAACAATAAATGCACTGAAAATAGGGATGTAACAATATCCAAATCTCTCAGTATGATATTATTACGATATGCATCTCATGATACAATATTTAATGCGATATTTTGAAGAGGCTAATATAATTGTAGATAGGACACTTTTTTGTTTTTAAAATACTCTGACAAGATTTTGGTGTGAATTATTTCCGTCATAATCCCAAGAATTCAAGTAGAAAACATCTCTCTTCATGTTGCCTGCGCTGAAATGAATCATGGGATATGTAGTTCCCAATGTTTATAAGCTGTTGCTACTATAAAACCTGCATTTAAGCAAAGAAACTTGTGATTTGATATATTGTGACAGCCCACGATATTACTGAGAGACTTTTGACGATACGATATGACAATATTTTGGTTATTGTTACATCCCTAACTGACAGTATTTTGAATGTTAGCTATAACTATAATCCCAAACCATAAGGTGAGTGGAAAGGGTTAACATTTCATATTTATCTAAAGGTATGATCAATTCTAAACACGTAAGTGCCGTAAAATCATGGAAAATTCACTTTAGGTCATGAACAAATCATGGAAAAGTTTTGAAATTTACTCAGTGAAAAAGCGTGGGAACCCTTAGTTAATCTACTTAAAATGAATGCTTTCAATTTGCTTAAAGTATCAAGATGTAAAAGATTATATAATACTTTTTAATTTAGTTTTAGTGAAAGGTCTTCTAATCCTTACGCACCATCACATTCTGAAGTAGCCATGAAAGTCTTCCACACTTTTGCCCAGCCAGTTGGTAAAAACAGTTAACGCCAAGCCCCGGTTTAGATCACCACGTTACGTCACAGTCACACCAACGAAGTTATAAACGTAAAGGTGTTGTTGTTGCTATCGCTGACGAAGTTGATCTGACACTCCTCCAGTCTGGCAATGTCCCCGAGATCCAGCTGCGAAAGCAACTGCGTAGGGTCAGTGTTCGTGGTCAGGATTTTCTGTTTGTTATTTACACTTTTCACCTCCTCTTCCTCACTCTCCTCCTCTTCTTCGGTGATGGAACAGAGTCGCGTCGTACTCCCCGGATTTTCGGCCGGCGGTCTGTAGTGACACTGTCCGTTTAGCAGCCTCCTTAACGGCATCAGGGGGACCGCGTCTTCGCCCAGGAGCTGTTGCTGCACGTGCCGAAAATCGCTTTGTCGTTTTAATCTTTTGAATTCGCTGAAGGCCGAAGTAGCGTGATGGTACAAGCTCATGGAGATCGCCTGGGCCTTCTCCGACTTGCTCACCAAAACCGCGTGGCACCTCAAAACAACCGCCATGTTTTTGACTTGGTGTCTGTAAATCCACGCGAGGATTTTGGGTCGGCACGGGTCGGCGGCGCAGTACGTAATTCTGTTCAAGGAATAAAGATGGATCGGTTTCTTTTTCCCCGATTTATCCGCGCTCATCCGAATCCCGTGCGCGCCAACTGTTAACCTCATCTTGATGCTCTGTTCTCCAAAGTTGCTCCTCGCCCAGATTTTGGCCACCGCCTCTTGCGTACAACCGTCTCCCTTCGCTGTTATGGTGACCACGCTTCCCAAATACCTCACGTTGTAAACCGGCTCCTCCTTGTTAAGTTCTACCTTCTGTCTTTTCGTGTGGAAGATGTTGCCGACCCATTCGAAGGGGCAGTCGGGCAGCAGGTCCGGACATGAGCGAAGGAGCGACGAGAGGATGGAGTGGTACGTCAGTCCAGCTCCTAAGCTCTTGGGTTTGTTTTTGCTCTCCTCCTCCGTCAAAACAAACTTATTCCGTTTCCAGGGCAACATTCCGAGGGCTGAGTTGGAGCGGTTCGCCCCCTCTCCTCTTCTCTACCGCGGAAAACTCACAAAAACACGGTCAAAAGCTGAGGAACGCCAAAGAGAGAAAGAGGATGCACGAGAAACACCACGCTGGTTTGCCGGAGCTCACTGACTGAATGCTCCGAGCTTTCCGCCGTTCCCTTGCGCTCTCGCTCCTCCCTCTCTCCCCTCTCTCCTCCGTGTTGTTTCCTCTCTTCCTCTCCTCTTCCTCCTCCTCTCCTCTGTGCCGTCTGCATCGTGCCGCGCCGATCCGAGCTGGAGCCAAAGCCCGGCGCTCCATCCCCCCCCTTCCCTCCTCCCTTCCTCTATTCCTCCTTCTTCCCCAACTCCTCTTGTTTTGCTTCCAAATCAGACAAAAAGAATTCAAGACTAGAGCGGACATTCCGACGGTAACCTATGGTAACTAGAATGTAAAGTGGCCATGTTTTGACTGTAGTTTCAACTCAAGAACGCTGTGACCAAAAAGGGAGCTGCACTTGTTTTCGATTTATTCCGTTGAGTAATTTCGAACGTCTGGTAAACAAAATCCTACCTCAGTGTTTCTCAACAAGCTCCTTCAGGTGGCACTTGAACAGCTCTTATGCGCATTTCCATAATTTCGAGTTTATTTTATCCACTTGATGATATAGCTCTAATCTTTTACTCTTTATGTTATAATTTGCACATTTTAAATCGCAATATTCACCTGTGATGACTTCATTAAAGAAATAAATCCACTGACTTCCACGTTAGAGAACGACAGTCCCCAATGAGAGATGACGTCGTAATAAATGTCATCAAAAGAAAAGAGTCTGCAACTTCGATGGATCGCTACAGATTGTGTTTCGTTTTGTTTTTTTAGTTTTTGTTGCACCAAAATGACTACACAACGCTGCAAAATCTTGTGTCCCATCATTTCCCACCACTTAAGAAAATAAAATTGGAAAACAAAGTACAATACCGGTCGAAAGTTTTAGAACACCACAGTTTTAATGTTGACCAAAACGTGTTCCAAACTTTTGGTTCATGAAAGTGTCCACCTTTGGCAGATATAACAGCTGAACACACTCGTGGCTCGTTCTTTTTACAACAGAAATCAAATATTGTTCAGAAAGTTCTTCCCAAGTCTGTCGCAGAAGTTTCCATAAATGTGTGGCACTTGTAGGTTGCTTCACTCTTCTGTCCAGTTCATCCCAAACCAGCTCCATGGGGTTTTAGTCTGGACACTGTGCTGCTGACACTCCAGGTTTTCAAGGTTTACCATCTTGTTCTTTTTTCCTGAGGTAGATATAGATAGATACAGCGATATTGTCAGCATGCTTTATGTTTAGGCTTTAAAATCATCAGATAGAGAACGTTAAATGTGCAAAGTTTCTCAAACACAACTAAAACAACTCCTCTACATCATTGTTTTGGAGTTGCACTTTTAATCCGTTTCTTTAAAAAAATATGTTTGAACTTAATAGCTGCGTGTAAATCAAATAAAAATGTAAAACGCCTATCCTTCTTCTTAAAAGTCGTGTCTCCAGCTCTATTCTTATAAATGAAAGTGAGTATATTATAAAAGCAGCACTTTGTAACACAATCAGACCACTGCACGCTGTCTGCATCCAGTCATATTTTATCAATCACAAACCCCGAACAAAGAGCTGTGTAATTGTCACGACTGACTGTGCACTGCTTGTCCACGCCTGTGTGACTCTTCCATCTGAAATAACTGATCTAAAACTGTGCACGTCTGATAATTCATGCATGTGAATACTAGTGATGTGTGAAGGGTTTGGGAGAGAGAGGGATAGTTACATTTAAAGGACTTGTAGACAGTTTACCCACACTAGAGGTAAATATGTCTTTCTCCAGTACAGATATATTGTTTAACAGTGATCCCCAATGTTTTTTTTTTCTCTCTATTAAGGTTTATTTGTACTATATTGACTCTGCAAAAGGTAAAGCGCCCAAATGACCCAAAATAAAGAAGCAATGCTGACAGACGTACTATTTAAGCTAAAATACCGACTATTTTCTTCATGAAAAATGTGCAGAAGGTAAGAGCTTTGTGCATGTGTGGACTGGGAAGATAATCTGTTTTTTTTCAGTTTTAGATTTTGTGTTTAAATGAAGAATGGAAAAAACGGATAACGGCCGTTTCCCGTTTATGTGACTTCTGTGACTGTGATGCCGGACTTTTGCGCTGTATACGGACTGAACCAGGACTGATCCAGGTCCGGGACTAGACTGGGACCAGACTGGGACCAGAGCGGGACCAAGGCGGACTCCAAGCTTTGACTCCGAGCCTCCACGGGGTCCAAGCCTCAGCTTCAAGCTCTGGTTCTGCCGTGGGCTCTGAGCCTTCGGTCTGGTCCCAGTCTGGTCCCGGCCTGGTCTCAGTCTCAGTCCCGGTCTGGTCCTAGTCTGGTCCTGGTATGAAAAGCGATTTATAAATAACATTTGATTGATTGATTTGACTGTGTACTGTCTGGTCTGAAGAGTCCAAGTATCAGGAAGTGCATGATTAGAATGCTAATTTGTAGATTTAATAAGACAGCAAAACTCCACTCTGATCTCTGTAAGCCGTGAAATGCTCTAATAAACTCGTCACGGTGAATAATTAGGATGCTCAGAATGCAAAAGGCAATTAAGGAATCAATCAAAACAGTATAAAATGAACTAGTTCTGTTTTTTCCACGTTTTAAGACAGTAAAAATTTGATCCAGCCCCCTGCTTCTCTCCAAATGCTTTAATTCTAAAAAGTACAGTACATGACTAGTACCACCTGTCTCCCTTAAGCACCGGAAATGAGTCTGAAAACCTTTCTCTTTAAAGGTGACTCTGTTTCATCGGTGCAACACTTATTCAACAAAGTGGAAAGCAGAAAAAAAGAAACATCAGCCTGACTTTAGCGTTATGTCATCTGGTTCTTACAAAGCTCCTGCGCTGCCAGAGCTAAGTAATTGTGTGTAATTATCATCACATTTTCAGCTATTTGAGGAGCAGCGGAGGTGGAGTCATCACTTACCTGGAGACCTGTGCCGGCTCGGGCTTCTGCTGTCTGACTAAAAGGAATGACTAACAGCGTGACTACACAAAAGTGCTTTAAAATAAAAATGACGCGAGGAACAAAACAATATATGCCTGGAGTGTTTGTCGAGATGGAACAGACACAGCGTCTCTTTGTTTTTCTAGTCATTTTACCTGCAGAACACAAAAATATGATGGTAGAAATTCAATCATTCAAAAGGAGAATGCAAACTCTTAGAAAAAGGTCTGATATCAGTGTTGTATAATACTGTTATGAACTGTCAATCAAGCGCACTTATACATTTTGTTAGGCATAGTATAAAAATGTTTGGAACAAGTCAAAAACATGTCTGGACTTGTGTTTTGTTTCATTCACACATTTTTGAGGTTCCATCTTGGCGTGCGCCCGCTGCTGTGATGGAGCCTGCCAGGTGGTTGGCGACCAGTCACATCACATCACTGAGGTTTGTGCAGCCAAAAGCAAAGCACCCAAATGACCCAAAACAAACAAGTGACACCGACAAACGTACTAGTTTAGCTAAAATACAGACTAGTTTGTATATAGGGCTGTGCAAAAATATCTAAATATTGAAAAAAAAAGAGAAATTAATTAATTATGATCTGTAATTAATTAATCTAATTAATCTCTTTTTAATCTCACCTAAAAATTGTTGAGAAAAGCCATAAACTTGAGGTATTTTCATTTAAATTCATTATTACATTATTGTGGCAGATCAAAAGACTGATATAGAACAAAAAGTGACTTTATAAAGTCATTTATTGTTTAACAAACTTTAACAGATGCAGTCACTTACATTCCACAGTATCATCATTATTATTACTATTACTAATCTGCAGTGTTGGGAAGGTGACTTTTAAAATGTAATCCCCTACAGATTACAGATTACATATCCCAAAATGTAGTTTGTAACGGAATCCATTTAATTACTTAAGGTGAGTGACGCAATCTGAATACTTTGGATTACTTGATATTGTCATGCTTTTAAAAACTACATGAATGTACCAACTGCATCCTGCAAATGCATGTTTGTTGTCTTCAAATTGGCTGTTGAGCCCAAGTCTCCATGAATAAGCAACTGTTTGCTGTAAAGTAGCAAAGACGAGGAAATCTGAACATTAAGATGTTTTGTTTACTTAAAGACAATAAAAAGTCCAGTCTTTCCTTAACCATATAAAAAATATTATTGATAGAGAAATGCTTTCTATATGAGATCACTGGTTTTAGTCCTGGTTTAGTCCTAGTTTTAGTTCTGGTTTTAGTTCTGGTTTAGTCCTAATTTAGTGCTGGTTTAGTCCTAGTTTTAGTTCTGGTTTAAGTCCTAATTTAGTCTTGGTTTAGTCCTGGACTGGTTTAGTCCTTGTTTTAGTTTTGGTGTTAGTTCTGGTTTAGAAGTGTACAGGAGGAAGTGTGGTTTACGCCGCGTACACGAGAAATCACAGTCCACACGCGGCGCACGAGACGGCGGTGTCCGCGCAGTAACTACGGAAGGAAACGTGGTCTGCACGTTCTCAGGTTGATGACGATGATGAAGGTGTGTGTTTGTGTTTGTGTGTGTTTGTGTTTGTGTGCGTGTCCCCTCGTGTCTCAGGGTCACTATAGGACAGTAGTGCAGACATCATGAGCCTAGGCAGGTTGTTTTCACCAGTGCCAGTAGCTCCGGTTTGACATTAAAGTTGTAGGCGATTTTATATGTTATTTTCTTTTATATTTCACGTCGGGAGAAGAATTTCCAAGACACGAATGCGTTTTTACCTGTGCACTGCTGCCTCTGTTCTACTGACTCTTCCACCTCGTCCACTGTGTGACTGACGCCGCCAACGTTAACATGACGTTTACATCGCTCTTACTGCCGCTCTGTGTGGGTTTCCAGCAATGAGTGGAATTACCGAAATAAAAAAAATTATAATTTTTTTTTTTGTATGTGTTGTTATCCCCACAACACATAAAA